AAATAATTCTTGAAAAAAAAAAAGGAAGATGACAGGAGGAGGAGCGCCAGTGCCATGAGGAAGAGATGCGTTAGCAGCGGGAAGAAATGATGCGGCAACAGCAGGAAGGATTCAAGGGAACCTTCCCTGATGTGAGAGAGCAGGAGATACGGATGGGTCAGATGGCTGTGGGAGGTAGCATGGGCATAAACAACAGAGGCGCCATACCTCCTGCTCCTTTGCCAGCGGGTACCCCAGCTCCTTCAGGACCTGCCACTATGATGCCAGATGGAGCCTTGGGATTGACCCACCGACAACTGAATGCTTTGGTCAAGCTGCTACAATGGAAGGAATTGGGGCAATTGGCAGAACTCCTGCATCCAACCATGCAGCTCCTAAAGCTGAATTTGCTCCAAACAAACGTCACCGATACTAATAAAGTTGCCGTGTCTAGCTTCCTAAAACCCTTAAAAGAAGGACCCTTTTTGGACTGGCCAGAATTCTACCCTGGAAAAATGTTAGGGATTCCTCCCAATAGTTAGGTCTTTCTAGCCTGTACTACTCTAGGGAGTAATACTGGAGGCAGAGGGCAAGGGAGGGGTGGTATTTAACAAGTCAGTTCTGTGTGGTATATTGTTTAATCAGTCTCTGTGTGGTGCATTCCTAAGTATCAAATATGATTGTTATGATTATTGAGGGCCTGGGGGAACCATGGCAAAATGGATCCAGCTAAAGCCCCATTAATCTTGATCATTCTGTTTTTGTCCATCACGTTATAGTTGCTTTCTCATCCACACTCCCTAACCCCAGTAACACAGCCACATGCACCACAAAATCCAAGCATCCCCCAATGACCTTAGCCCCATTGCTTCATTTGCTCCCAGGTGAGAATTCAGGCAGATGTCCACAGAGGTCACAGTGTACATACGGTTCAGTTACCCTATATATTACCCCTTCATGTCCTAAGGAAGATATTTTCTCTTAGAGATTTTCATTTTAGTATATCTTCAAAAAAAATCTTGTGTTAATTTGCCTCTATGTTTCCCCTGGGTAAGGACAACCCAGGAATGGCCCCTTTGTGTCTGAGATGTTGCTGTTCACAGCTTTTCTTGATAGGCTTAGTAAAGTCTTGGGAACAGGGTTGCTGTAATATGAAGGTCTGACAGTAACCCTTAGCCTTGCCTATCTTAGGTAGTTACGCTGTGCATTTTTTTATTGGTGTACCGTGTTTGATTTGTTCTAATACTTTTTATTTGGAGTTTTGTCTGAGAAATGGAGTGGTAATGCAGCATCAAATTATTAAAATATATTTTAAGCCTTATTTTTTTTTTTTAAAAAAAAAAAAGGAAGAAAGAAAGAAGGAAGGAAAGAAAGAAAGAGAAAAGAAACCCATGCTCCCAGGACATCATCCTCACCCACAGATGCCAAGTTGCTATAGGTCTCCAGCATGACATCCTTGTGCATTGTCCTCTGGGCAGGATCCAGTCTGTGCCACTCCTGTTGGGTGAAATCCAAAGCCACATCCTCGAATGATACGGACCCCTGTAACACAATCTGCAATGATCAGAATGGGATGCCTGGAAAAGAATGTGAGAACTAATCCTCTCAATGAAACCCTATTGAGAATTGACTTGGAAGAGTTACACTGGATACCCAGATCTATGTCTTGCTTGGTATTATGCTTTTAGCATGGGGGACCCTGAAAAGCCCTACTACTGTATTAACTTTTTTTAAGTTTATTTTTCTAACATAAGCAAAAGAGACAGAAAGACACAGACACAGTAGCCCCAATGGGTCTTGACACCAAGATCCACCCTCGGCAATCTCTCTGTCAATACCAAAGACCTCACACAAGAGAGAAACCTTATGAATGCAGAAATGTTTTCTATGAGAAAGTACACCTCACCATGATGCACCCAGCTTCAGTCAGCCCTCAGATCATAGGCACATATATGCCTGGCATACTCAGGAAGGTCTCTAGATGTGGGTCCAAAAAAGTTAGAGCACTATACCATGTATTTTTTTAAATTTTAGTTATTGTTATTATTATTTTAATTTGACTAGAGAGAGACAGAGGGAGAGAGAAAGGGAAAGTGAGAAACCAAGCTGCTAGGTCCGGGACTTGAACTGCAGTCAACCATGTGGGAGTTTAGCACTTTAACCACCATGCCACTTGCCGGCCCCTACACTACATATTTCAAGTAAAGCAACAAGTCTTAAGATAGTGTGGTTCTTTTTTAAATATACATATGGGCCAGTAGGTGGCATGGTGGTCAGGGGTGCTAGACTACCACATGGCTGACCGTAGTTGGAGTCCTGGACCTGGTGGCTTGCTTTCTCACTCCCCGCCTCCACTCCCCCCACCC